TTCAAGTTTTGTGCAAAAACGCATGATCGCTCCGGCTCGCCTGGTGCGTTCCAGCCTACGTTTAGTGAAGAGCTGAAATTTTTGCATTTTCAAAAGTTTGCATGTTTCATTTTTCCAAAAAGCAAGCAAAATTTGGCGTGAAAATTGCTAACTTTGTTACCAGAAAAGCTAAAAGGCCGAAATTTTAGGTGATGGTCCTTGTCCACGTGCAATTTAAAGATGTCATACTTAGCCCTCTGATACCCCTGGTACTAACGTACGAGCACGTGGGGGTTTTGTACGGAAAAGTGCTGGCTCGGAAGACAGAAAAGCTGGGACGCTGAAATTTTAGCAGAATATTCCCTGTTCAAATACAACTTGAAAGTTTCAAATTTAGCCTTCAGTTATGTGTGGTTCTCACGTACGGGCGCTTAAGTCTTTGGTGGGCAAATTACTCATTGACTAGCTGTTCACTGAGTAGCTATTCAATGAGTCGTTTTCAAAGACCGACCGCTAGACGGAAATTGTTCATTTTCCTATATGCGAAATTTACTACTTATGGGTTGTGAGCGTGCACTGAAGCAACAATCACTCACGTGATTGCTTCAAATTTAATGCAAAAATGCACAATCGCGCCTCCAGGTCTGGCGCTGTCCAGCCCACGGTTTTTGCTAAATCATACCCTCAAAACTTATTGCCAGGGCTTTAGTCCTGAGCTATTATGCACTCAGGTACTGTCTCAGATTTCTGACACCATATATTTGCGCACCATTTCAAATGCTACCAAATGTTCTTGCAGTTCCTCTTGGGAATTGCTAAGCTATGTCCAGTGTTTCATGATGTTCGTGATTTGTGCTGAGTATTTTTTCGCGAATTTTGCTATTGCTGAACGACAATTGGTGTCTACACCAACCTGGAGCCTCATACTTCATATTCTAATTACTAGGCTGCCCTTTTATGTTAACCAATTGCTTCTCTAGATGGTCTTTTCGATTCAATTTATCCAACCCCTTATGGAACCACGTTGATCTGAAAAGACAGAGAAAACCTTTCCAGTTGGATCAGTGCCGCAAAAGGCACCGCAGTAGAACAGTGGCTGTTAATTAGTCAAAATATCAAGCACCCTTATCTCGCTCCGCTTGGCTCTTGTCTTTTTAACGGTTTTTCCAAATAGCAAAAGTTTCTAAACATATAAATTTTATGATATTAGCATAAGAAGGGTTTTTTCGTTTTCAGCTCAGGAATGAAACGTAGACTACCGCTTACATGCGACCCCCCGTTTTCGGATTTTCGATATTCCAGTTATCTTTAGCGGCATAATTCTAGGCCTCTGTGTCACCACACTGTTGTCATCCTGAGCCGCACGGCACGTAAAAGCAAGTGTATTTACTTTTAAATAAATGTATATGAACGAACAGCAAAGAAAATTAAGGTTGATCAAAATCATAAAATTGCAACGTGTTTCCATGTCACGTATCGGCTGGCTTCGATGCATCAGTTGGTTTCGATAGATCGGTTGGTTTTGTGGCGTCCGCTGGTGTTGGTTGATCCGCCCCCTTTGCTGCGTCACCATAAGCAGTGACCATCTCACTACTGGATGATGACGACTTCTTTGCCAACTTTTTCTTTTCACCTTCAGGAGCTCCAGCAGCTCCAGCTACAACGGCTCCAGCTACAGCACCTCCAGCGGCTCCAGGTGCAGCAGCTCCAGTTGCAGCTGCTCGCTCTGCTTCCGACTTTTTGCGTAGTTTGCGCAAGACGTTCAATTCTAAAATTTCGTTATTTTTCATGAACATTCTGTGGTACTGAAAAAATTTTAATAAATACCTCAAAACAGTTAAAATATCTGGAAATTTTCGCAATGGATCAACAAGAAATATCCAATTCTAGCAAATAATCATTGCATACTTCGAAGACGGCGACGGGCACGATCTTTCATCTTTCGCTTCTTGCGATGTTTGAGGATGCCCATTCGAATCTTGTAACGGCGACGTGCTGGTATAATAGATGCTCGATGATAAATCACAATGATGAAGAAGATCAGTGTGAGCAAGAGGTCCAGCAGAGTAAGTTTAAGAATAAGAATCATAAAATATGGCCTGCAAATATGAGTATCAAGTGCTGCACAAATAAGTGTCAAAAGCAAGCAGCTAAGGCATTTGGTGTACCTGCCAACCTCCTCGGGCTA